ATTTTTTGATTGACAGATGTCTCGTCCAGTCAGCGGTGAGTAATCCCAAACCAATGGCGCTGTCTCAAACTATACCTACTTCTTCCGGTTTGTCTGAATTGTCGTTGTGTTTTCTGACTTGTTAATTTGTTTTCGGATTTGTCATTGTGTTTTCTGACTTGTTATAATGTTTTCTGAATTGTTGTTGTGCTTTCTGAATTGTTATTTTGTTTTTTAGACTTGCATTTGCGTTTGTAATTTGTTATTTTGTTTTCAGAATTGTGATTTGCTTTGCACTTCTCGTCCACCGTACGTTTCAATTAAATGACGATTATAAATCATACACATTCTTCATCTATAACATTTTCCAGCCCGCCTTTCCAATAGGTGGCGCCTGCGTATTTGTTTATTAGGGCGATTCCAGTGAAAAACACGAAGTAGTGCCGGAGTGAGACACGCGCGTGCGTTATATTCTTTCAAGGAGTTACTCATGTTCACAAACCTCCTCGAAGAAGCGAAAGCCTTGAGACTGGGCAGTTTTCACTCATAAGTGTAGGTTTTTCATCTCAGCTGCCTTCCCACGGTAAGATAATAATAAGTCTATCAGAAGCACAGGAAATGTAATACAAACAGAGATTTGGACTGCAGCTGAGCTGTGTGCAGAACAAGCATGTTTGATCCTGTTTAATTTATTCATTGATCGTAATCGTATTTAAAATGTAGCCGATCTTGTGCGACACATCTCTGAAATAACTAGTCTCAAACTAAATGGTACGAGGTTGAACCATGTAACCTCTGACTCGGTGTGACTGCATAAGGCTTGGTCTGGTTAAACTTTTAGCGGGTTGCTCCTTTACGACGTTGAACTTGAACTCGAGCTCATATCTTATTCTGCCATGTTTAAACCATTTCCTGCATTTAAAGGATGTGTAAAACCTAAAAAATAAGAGCCTGTACTTCTTTCCCATGCCATGTTTGTCCGATAAACCGCCATCAAGCATTTGTCGCTGTCAGTCATAGAGCGTGAAGTCAGCGCCAGAAAACAGTGCATGTGTCTCAAAACCTAGTCAGTTGCTTAACTTGGCAACATTTTAGCTGTTGATGCCCGAACAAGCCGAGGCAGAGACAATTTATAGCCTATATAAAGAGCCCTGTACAGCAGTGCAGGTCCTGGAAAGTTTTGTTTGAGGAATTGAAAGCCAAATGTACATTTTTCACTTTTTAATTGTACATTACTTTATAGCAGTCCAGGCCTGTTTCACGTGTAGGCTTCAAATGCGGTTTACTTTGGCCTAGAGTTTTTGTTTATATGTATATAGGAAGTTGCTTTATTGTTAACATTATTTCTAGTTTTAGGTTTTGTCAAGAATTTGGAGTCACCATGCCTGCAAAAAAAGCCATAAAGAGACAAACAATTGCAGCACCTGAGGACTCCACGTCTGTGAAAAAACAAAAAGGCGAGTCTCTATTTTCCTATA